CCCCCCCACACACACACACATTCTCTTTCAATGATTTGTGCACACTTTCAGGAATATTTTTCTATTTAGTCAACCAATCATCTTTTCAGGATACACATGATAAAAACAAACAGTATCCAAGTACACAATAATAATAGAACTCAAGGAAAAACTTGTATGACATGATAGAAGCAAATTTACCTGCCACCATTTTTTCTTGGCATACTTTTGGCACGGGACTTCTAGTCCATGAGTGAGCAGGGCAAAGTAGATGACCGCCACTGCCACGTGTTCAGGAGGATGATCCAGACAGAAGCTGCTGTGATAGCTGTCTCGCAGCATAGCCCACGCTGTGCGGCAAACAGGCACCTCCTCCCACACCTTCGGCTCTACCCAGTCGGAGAGAGCACGCAAGTAGTGCACCAAATACTGAAAGGCAAGGGAAAACCCCCCCAGCGGAAATTGAGTTTCATATTCAGAAGCTAAAATTATCGTTTAGAATATTTACTGAACATATTAAAGGCTGTGTCACGCTAAAAGGTGATACACACTCAAGACTCACATTATACAGCATACACACACTGTTTTGACTATCGAATTACAAACAATCAATAAAAGTAAAACCAGATTGGATTTTACTTGTAAAAAGAAAGTATTCACTCCTATCGATTGTTAAATAAAAAGAGAGTGTTATTGAGATCAATGAGTTTCATGCCAGCTTCATTTTATCCTTAATGTTAAATAGGACTATAATCTCAAGAATATTATTTATAAGGACCCTGCTTAGTATGGAACAACAAAAAACTGATGCAATCAGCAATGACTAATGTAAGCTTTCAGAATTCATTGTGACCTCTGCATCTCACTCCAAGCCTTTTCTTTACAACAAATCAGTGCATACTTGACAAAATAAAAGAATTAGCAATCTGTGCTTCTTTCATACCTTGTGCGGATGTGGGAAAACAACCTTGAATTTGAGGGCTCTCAGCAGGAACAACTCACAGCTGGCAACGCTCTCTCGCAGGGCCCAGAATGTCTCTCCTATCTCCAGTGGTGCTTTGTTCTTGTGTAAAGTTCTGCAAGGAGCAAAGAAGTGTTACGACAAGTGCTTTTGTACGGTACTTGTCTTGAACAATCACAATTATATAATAAGCATGAACCTGTTTACAGACCCTTTCAACTTCTGTCCTCAGTTTTTCCTATCTGTCAAATTTCTTATCTCTTACAACACGCAGTATCACGGCAGGTGTATTCTTTGCTCCCCCATAGTAAAACTATAGGGCCCCTCACCTGCAGGGGCGCAGCATGGTACTACAGGAGAAAAACTGTTTAAACACTAAAAGTTTTTCTTTTGTATATTTAGAACCAGCACATTTCCAAGTTTCAATTTCAGTAGCTGGAAGTACACAAGCTCTAGATAGATAATCTCTAGTTCGTTGAAGGTAAATTCCCTGATCTGCAGACACAGATATGGTAACACGAACACAGGAAAACTCGAAATCATGGAAAGCTAATACAATTTGCCATCCTCTAAATGATATTGCTTTAACCTTTCATTATCGGTTAACCCAAATTATGGATGTGCCAAACACATTTGTCAATAGTTGACAAGTTTGAATTATCTGTGCCCAACTGTACTTTAATCATCTTGCACATTTTACAAGGTAGGCAAAAAAAAAATAATGTGAAGTGTGCCTCCTCTAAATGATACAATGATGGAGCCAACAGCATCAATCCAGAACACATAAACTACTGCCAAAATGTGGCAGAGTCAAAACAAATTCAAAAAGTAAGTAATGAGGCCGTCTGACCTGTAGCACACATTGACAATGTCTCTGAGGCGAACACTCTCTTCCTCCACTTTGCAGGCCAAGGAAATACAGGTGGCTCCAATCAGCTGAAACACCAAATGGTAAGGTCTGTCCGTAGTTCAACATCACACATTTGAAATAATTCTATGAATACAAAAAGCAGTGTTATGGCTAAAGAAATAAGGTAACACATATCATTTTTGAGAAAACCCCTAATTTCATGTTTTTCTATTACTTATTCAAATAACAGATTCTAATAAGTTACCTGAAAACAATATGGCACAAAAAGCTTCAACAAATCACAAGAAATATAAAAACAAACTGTCTACAATGAGTCAATTAAAGTGAGTATTAAGGACAATAATATGACAGATCTTAAAGAAGCCTCTATATCCTTCTTGCTTGAATTAAAAACGTTACTACAGAAAAGGAGTGCATTTTGATGGTGTTTAAATTTGATCCTTTTACAGGGCTCTGGGTTGAAAGGAGAAAATATTTGAGGAAACAAGGACAAAAATCTGGGTTGAAGAGACAATATTTGAAGAAAGACAAAGAAAAAAATCTTGAATTCACCAAATAAACCCTAAATTTCATCATGGCTGGTCACATGCATTAAAATAATTATAATGTGACCACAGCCAGAACAGTTGCCCCAAAAATGGGAAAAAGAGAAAACCTGCATCGATTAGAAACTAAAATAATAACAGCGTAAAGACCTCAAGATTTACTTTTTTTTTCTAGGTCCTGAAAAAGACTCCTGAGGTCAAAAGAAACCCATCAAACACCTGTCATTATGACAACAATCAACAATCAAGGGAATGACCAAACATGTCATAGATTAGAGGCCAAAAAATAAAAGCTAATAAAATCTGAAAACTCACATAGGGATCAAAATCTTTAAGAGCAGCTTGTCTGAAGAATCTATGATAAATTGTGGAAGCTGTTGCCAAAGGGACACTTTGTAGATGAAGCTTCAGACCTGATAGTATAAACAGATTATAGATTTATTTCCTTTGGAAAAAATCCATGAAAGCACACAACTTATGGTGAAAGGACACATTGGGCATGCACGCATGCCTGTGTGTTTGTGTGTGTTTAAGTGAGTGCATTTGTGCGTATTTTGTGAGTGAGTGTGTTCCTAACTGTGTGTGAGACCACAACTACTTTGCACATGTACAAGCTTACAATACTATAACATGAGGGCATAAATTTTTCAGTTAAAAAAACACTAGTTAAGCATTGTACAATTTTACACAAATTAGTGAGAACAAAATAAAATGGAATTTCTGCTATTACATACAGAGGGGCTTTACTTACAAGCATTGCCCATCTATAAATTACGTTAAACATTGTGATCTAAAATATTTTCAAAAACCTGTATTCTTATGGTATGAGACAGCTGAAATGACCCTTAAAAGGCCCCAAAATGAGCGATGGCTCACATCTTTTGGGACAAAATATGTTTTCTTATGAACTCCGTTTGAATACTTTACACCTTCATACTGAAAATAGCTTGCATCTATGTAATATATATAATAGCACAAATAGCCTAAGACAACTGACTCTGAGTAAACAACTTATACTAAATGGATGACATCAAAAAGAAAAAAGGTGGACCTAACCACTTTTCACATATAAAGGTTAGTGTTGCTAAACCAAATATTTAATTGTTTGTGGGTTTTTTTGGCGGGGGGAAGACACACCTTGGGCATATATCTTACAACAAAATCTTAATAATCATCATGGTAATGAATAGGAGAGCAACAGCAAAGGTACAAAACATACCTGCTTCATGCATGTAGCGTATAACACGGAAGTGTACTCTGGCTTCATTGTCAGAGGACATGATTCCCTCAGGTAGAATCAACGCACTTGCACCTTTGCCGCAAAAGAAAAAAATCTAAATGATTCTCTAAAAGTATGATGAAGCAAGAATAGTTGGTGTATAAATTATATAATTTAACAAACTGCAGTATTTTTAGCATTTTTATAATCTCTAGCCATCTGTTTGGCAATGTGTCCTTTGCAGGCAGGTGTTCATGGGGTGCGTGCATGGGAGGGGGAGGAGGGGGGAGGGGG